CCCCAAAACCCCAAAACCCCAAAACCCCAAAACCCCAAGCGATAAAAAATCAAGAAATTAATAAAATAAAGTAACATTAATACGTAGTTAAATGATTATTAATCAAGAAATATAGAGATCTCTTCCATTCAATTATTGTACATCTCTAGCATTATTTTGCTTTCCAGATAGGATTTTCAAATCCTCTAATTACATTTTGCTTATGTTGGTAAATTTATCAAGGACAATAAACCAGGTTACATTTTCAGTGCATGGTGCATAGGTCAAACTACCTTCATATCTTACATGATAAGATTATTTCATTGTCTATTCCAAATCATTCTCAATCAACTAAAATGTCATACAATAAAATTTTACATCATAAAAACTGAGATAACTTTGATTTAACTCAATAGAGGAACTTAATTAGCTCTTTTTTATCAAAGCCAGTAGGTCTTAATTTTTAAAAAATTTATTAGTTGTTTCTTTCTTAGAATCTTCATCAAATAACAAGGATATTATTAGTATTTTATTATCACTATTCCCGTAGAACAATATCTGAATCTCTAAGTCTGATCTAAATTATTTCTCTCCAAACTACATATTTATTAAATTACTGATGAAATTACTGTATGTTCAGATGGAAGATGCAAATAGAATCCATACATCGTAAACTGTTAACCTAAATATTTGATTGATCCCCAAGAGCCCTCAAAGAAAAGCATCCCTGTGTCTTTATTTTTCTTCAATTTCGCTTGTCCTTGGGGTTTGTCAAACATTCCAAACTGTATTTCTTAATCTGGCATTTCATTAAAGAAGTTACCATTCAGATTGATAGGAGATTGATTTTATCCAGTTCTATATTAATCTAAGTTGAAATAACTTACAAGCATTGATCTCTAATTAATTCATCTTACTTTAGCTGTATTCGCTACACAATATTTTGTTATTTGACTTGAATATCATTTTGCTTAAGAGGGATAACATCTGCAGATTTCATCCTTAGTTGTGGTCTTAATTCATCTATAATATTTCCTATAAGTTCTTGTTTAGTTTCAATCAATGTTGAATCATCCCAGTGACCATCATAGAATTCATCTCTAACTAGCTATCGCCTAAGTTCAATTTCTAAAGCATCACTTAGTTGAGCTAGGTGAGAACTATTATTAAATTTTAATAAACCATTGTACTTATTGTCTCCTCTCTTAATCATTGAGTCATAATCTGGCTTTACTTTAATTCTTTCGTTAGTCTTTACTTCAAGAATCTACTATGGATCTGAATCTACTACTGCTTGATTAGCAATCCATTTGGATGTAGATAATTAATCCTCTTGCAAGTCTGTGAAATCAGAAAAGGAAGTCAAAATTGCTTAATTTTGAGAGTCTTATTTATATAAAGAACTTAAATTGCTTGCAGCAATTAAAGAGTCAGAAGCATCATTATGTATGGTATTTCTTCTCTCCTCTTCAATCTTTCTTTGAAATTGATCAATGACTCTATTTGAATTTTATTAGTTTTATCTAATTAAATTTTAGCTGTAAATATTCTGGAGATTTAGCTAAGTTGTTTAATTTAATGCCTCATCAATTAATATATGATCGTTCAGATTAATATTCTTTTACTTGTTGACAATTGACTATTTTAAAGAATCATGGAATGATTTATCCTTAAGCAGAGCATCATTATCAACTATAACATTCGCATGGTACCTACTGATTAGACTATTTTAATCAAATTGACTGATATAGTTTTCTATTCTAGATTTATCTTTCTCTTCTTTAATTTTTAATAACCTTTAATAATCCTCATCAGCAACTCTATTTTATAGACTGTCTTGCTTAATCAGCATTTGATTATTAAGTTTTTATTCAAGTATATCACCTGCAAACTAAAAAGAGTTATTTCTAATTAGATCCATCTAATTCTCATTAAAAACATCAGTTTGTTTATTAACACCGTGCAATGTTTAATTGACTGATTTTTCAATGTGTATATCATTAAATTTAACGTCGAAAACATTAGAAGCTGAAGAGCCAATATTTTTAGCTAGTTACTCATTAAGTTTAGATGATACTTCATGGTTGCTGTTGTATCTATCCAACATTTCATCAATAATTTTGTCGTTGAATTTTTCCAATTTAGACTGCTAAGGAACAGCCAACTAATCCTGAGAGCTTTTCTTGAAAAAACTAGAATAGGCTTGTTTGTTAGTTTTATAGTTGTAGTTTGAAGTGAATCTTTAGACATCATTTTTATTCTTTGAGCTTTCTAAGAATGAATTTTAAATTGCTTTAACTGTTTACTCAACCTACTTAAAAATATCATTGTTAAGAAGCTTCTTCATTCCTTATTTATATACACTAGTTTGCAACAAATCTTATTTTTAGTCTATAAATTCTTAAGTTGTGAGGTTGGAAGCTGCTTTTACCTGAGAATTTAAAGAATTCCTATCTATAGTTTATGGCTAATCTTGTTCATTTAAATTCTAAATTTTATTCTATTTTACAGATATCTAAGCTAATGAATGAATTTAGTTCTAGCTAGTTAGGCTCTACTGTATAAATGATTTAGAAGATTTTGAAGTTGATGAAGTCGAAGGTGTAAAGAAATCGTTCATAAAATCGTTAAATAATTCATCAGCCTCAGTTTCTTTGTGATACCTTTCAGCATAATTGTTATTTTAATTAGATTTCTGGGATAATGCCTAATCTAATTTAGCTTAGTCCTAACTTTTAGTTTCCTAATTTTAAACGACTGATTTATCAGCCTAAATATCTTCATTATTATTAATTAGACCTTCACTAACAGATTTTCCTAGCTCTTTAATTGACAATTTATCAATTTCACTGCTTTTTTGAGATTTTGTGAATTTCTTTGGGATCATAATACCATTAGGATGATCGATTACTAATCCATTAATAGTCTTTGCTGGCTACTAAATTTCAAGATTAGAGTATAAAGTTTCAGCCTCCTCAACAGGCTTTGCTTGCAACTCCTAATGCTCTTTCACTTTAGCATGATTTTTCAAAACTAAAGATACCTTTCTATTTTATCTTGCCTTAATTTATCTGTACTAAGACAATAACCTGGTTGGGAAATAATCAAGTTGATCCTTGGAAAGTGATATGGTTTATGCTAGAAGAATCCACATGACGCTTGATTCACAGTTAGGTTCAGTCATACTTCCTTCGTACATCAAATACTCCTCTGGCTCGTCGATTAATGACTTGAGATTAAGTATAGAGTTTTCCAGCAATAGTTCCTAGTTTTCAACTAAATCTCTTAGCTGCTCTGCTGTTTTAGGATTGTTTTAGGGATCAAAGCCAATATTAGACAAAAAGTCAGATGAGAAATCCCCGATGTCAAAAAATACGCTAACAATCGCTTTATTACCCAATTAATCCGTATGCAGAAGTTACATTTCCAATGGATACCTCTTGTAGGAAGAAGTGAACTATAAATTATATTAATATATCGAAAAGAATAGATTACGGTATGCTCAGATGGAGAATGAAAAATTATTTATTGAGCTAAAAAAACTTAGTTCTATTTATATATAAACTGCCCAAAGTCCCCAAAAATTTTCAAATTGTTACCATCATTGTTTATCAGTGAAATATCTCCTTTTAGTTAATCATATTCGAACTTCGTTTCAGGATCTAAATATGATTTTCAATATTTTAAGCTTAATTACCTGAGTAGGTGAAAGGAGATTCAATATTTATAGGTGATTAGTACAGATTATTGTTTGTCTACTTTTGGCATTGCTCCTCTAAATTAGAATAATTCCAAACTATTTTATCACTTGCAACTGTATCTTAAATACTCAAAATTATAACTATAGAATGAAATCGATAATATCTAATTATACATAATATTGAAGTTATAATTGCCATTTTAAAGAATGAAGGTGTCGGTTGCTTAGAATAGAATTGGAGAATTTGCATTTTTATTAATGGATTGTTATATTCTAATTTATGATTAATTATTTCAATTCACCTAATTACCAACAGATTAATTTTTGGGGTTTTGGGGTTTTGGGGTTTTGGGG